ATCGATCCGCGGGGATTAAAGAGGCATTAATAAGCAGGTCATTAAATTGCTGTCTGCATTAAGATAATTTTCTGTAGAAATGCGTTTTTTTACATATATATGTATAACAATAATGCCGTTCAGATAAACCTTTGTAAGGTCAATCGTGTACCAAGCAGTAAGCGATTGCCCATGAACTATAAATACATGGCCAAGCCAATATCATGGTTTCGAACTTTGTTGAAGACGAGTTATACGAACATTTACGATTTCAGTTAAGCACAAAATGGTTATCGGGTAGTTAGACTTTCCCCTGGACCCGGCCATGTTGGTTACCAAGACGTTACACCCTGACCCGGCCATGTTGGTTACGAAGTAGCTATATTTTCTCCTGATCCCGCCATGTTGGTTACCAAGACGTTAGACCCTGACTCGGCCATGTTGGTTACCTAGACGTTAAACCATGACCCGGCCATGTTGGTTACCAAGTAGCTATAATTTATCCTGGTCCCGCCATGTTGGTTACCTAGACGTTAAACCATGACCCGGCCATGTTGGTTACCTAGACGTTAAACCATGACCCGGCCATTTTGGTTACCAAGTAGCTATAATTTATCCTGGTCCCGCTACGTTGATTACCAAGACGTTAAACCAAGACCCGGCCATTTTGGTTACCAAGTAGCTAGAATTTCTCTTGGTCCCGCCATGTTGGTTACCAAGACGTTAAACCAAGACCCGGCCATGTTGGTTACCAAGTAGCTAGAATTTATCTTGGTCCCGCCATGTTGGTTACCAAGACGTTAAACCAAGACCCGGCCATGTTGGTTACCAAGTAGCTAGAATTTATCTTGGTCCCGCCATGTTGGTTACCAAGACGTTAAACCATGACCCGGAAATATTAGTTACCAAGTAGCTATAATTTCTCCTGGACCCGCTATGTTGGTTACCAAGACGTTAACCCAAGACCCGGCCATGTTGGTTACCAAGTAGCTAGAATTTCTCTTGGACCCGCCATGTTGGTAACCCAGAAGTTAACCCAAGACCCGGCCATGTTGGTTACCAAGACGTTAAACCTAGACCCGGCTATTTTGGTTACCAATGAGTTATTTTTCTCTGGTCCGACCAAGTTAGATACCAAGTAATTCTGGCTTGCACTATTGGCCAATGTTCGTTTCAAAGAAATGTGTCCTTCCCTTTCCTGAAATGTTCATTTCCGGTGAGACACCATCCCCGACTATACAGTAGAACGCCCTTTCGGACTATTGAACAACATCTGTTAGCCGATTGGTCGTGTAATAGTCCTGGTCCAATATAGCCATAGCAGCTTTGTTGTGCCCCGGCCGGCTAATAATGGGAGCTTTATGTTATTATCGATTTGTCACTCCCTGTCACAGGTAGGATGCACGAGGGTTTTTTTACAACTTCATTGCAAGGACGATTTTTGTCGCATTTTACTGCCATGACATCAATACCATAGCTATAATGATTCTTGTCTGACTGCAACTTATTCGTTCTACTGCAAGTTTTACCTAAGTAACGGTTATCAGATCCGCGATTATTTCACCAGTGTTTTGCCTTATTCTAAAAACCATATCTATTTACTCATGTAACCGTGGATTTAATGAGTAACGAACAGCTCGCATTTATGTCTTTACTGTTCTTCTCCGTGATATTCGTGTGTATAACTAACTATAATATGTTTTAGATGTGCAAGTAGGAAACCTTCGGGCATTAATGAACCCTCGGGCAGTTTTTAGTAAGGAGCCTTCGGGAACATCTTCGACACTCAATGGCCATGGGTTACGCTCACTTATGTGTGCAATAAGTGAGCGTTATCCCTGAATATCGAGGATGCTTCGAGAAGTACATGCAACTCAACAGAAGGACTCAAGCCAGTGATCGAACCCCTAGACTCGCTTAGGAGTTCAAACCTACATCCTTCATAGTCGATCTGTACTTAACAATAACAAAAATAGGCATTTCCCTCTTAGATTTATAATCGATTTATAATAAAATAACTATCTGTAATACCTTTTATATTGTAAATCTTACATTCTGTCTCTTCAATCTTATGATCAGATAGCGTGCTATATTTCCATAAGAATCCTAGCAACTCTCAAGTCTCTACAGCAGGGTCCCTCTCGTGGAGGGCTGATAATGTAATCCTCCTCGGCACGATACACACAAAACCGTGTAGGGAGGAGACAGGCGGGCGACATATATATCGATCGTAGTCATGTTTATGTTAAATAGTAAAAGGATGAGTATTTGAAATGAATATAAAAAAGAGGAACGAACTTTAATTAGCGCCTAATCCTTATATAGACACGCCGACAGACCTTCTCTCTTTCAGATTTGGGTTGGAGACACAATTATATTGTTTTATTTCTATAGTTTGACATGATCTGAAAACAGTTTCAGTTGGCAATGGATCACTTACATTTCCTTTATTTCCAACTCAGTGATATATATATATGCACTGTTTAATTCTGTAGTTCTGAGTAATTTCACGCATTGCTTTTTAATTGCATGATTGTGTCGTGGTTTTTTTTTACGATTTGATGGTGTATTTTACATCCACCACTGCTCTGTGTTGCATGTGTGTGTTTATTGTCACAGCTAGACTTGCGTTCCCTTGCAGCTTATAGCTAGTGTCTTATCCAGACGTGTCAGTCCCCCTCCCCAAAGTAGAGGAGAGNCCACCGTATACTTAGTCTAGACCCCGAGTCAGTTATTTGCGGTACTCATGGAGGGTGGAAAGACATAGCAATGTTTTCCTCCTTGCGAGGGACATGTGTTTTGGTGTACACAAAGTGTGGGCTGGCGCTATAAGAATCACATGCCTCGAATTCCTGGTTTAGTGGCGGGCTAATCCAGGCTGATGAGACTGGCTGTACGGCCTGACAGCTGTCGCGAGTACAGGCGTCTGGGCAGTACCACTTTCATTCAGAGCAGGTCATAACCTAGGAATACTCGGATCGTTAAAATAATAACTGAAATTAATTTTCATGTTTAAAATGACAATCTGATTCCACCCGGGATGTGATCGGTTTTAGTTGATACTCAAAGTATCACTTACATAAAGTTCAGTTTATCTACACAGTAAATCATCTTAGCATTTATTTAGATATAGTGAATATATATTATATAACTTAATATTTTTATTTTATATTAATCGATTTTGTTGGTTTCTGAGAAAACCCCTGTGATTAGGCAGCCATGATGACCCCAAGCCGCTTCTCATCCATCCTCGATACTCCAGGGTTTACGATCACTTTCGCTCTCTGCACGCGTAAGTGATTGCAACCCCTTGAGTGTCGAGGATGCTTCTCATCCAATGGGGGAGTCGAACCCTGACCGTCCGGAGTTGGTGAAAGGAGAATGCGCCAACCATTGCGCCACCCGAAGAACGTTCAGATATGCGAACCAAAAACTATTTATAAAAGTGTATTGCGCTGATCGATAGTTTTTGATTTGAATCTGATAATACATTTATATTACAAACCGCTGCTATTTACAGCGAGTGATGTGTATACAAGCTTTGATGAAATGATCTGTTGAATGAGACACAGGGACCCGATGAAACGGAATTGTCCAAACATACCTTTACAATATAAACATATTCTCATGTCCCTGTCTACGGAGAGTGATGAAAATCAAATGTGCATGGTTTAATGTTTCACGTGCTTAGAGCTAATCATAAACAATGTTTTGTGATGTTGTCATTGCTACTAGACCCGCGCGCGCTAATTAATGTGCGCCAAACACATGCTTTACGTTTGGGTTTGACGTGTAGCGCGATTCCTCACTCCCACACGCCGTACAGCTGGCACTGTCTCACACAAAAATGGAATTTGTTCCTGACAAAACGATTTACACATGCGACCAAGCTATTTTCAATGTGTGTGTGTGTGCTATAACTATTGATGTTATGAGTTGGAGCTATTCTTCTTATTAATATCAGGAGAATGGCTTCAGCAGTGTTGGTATTAAAAGCTCCCATTAACAGCCTCACATATCTTTCTCCGACATTAAAATGTAGGATGCATGCTTGTTCAAATCATGGCATGCTATTGAAAATGTGGTGGTATATCAATTTTATTTATCAATATTGTTGACTTAGAGGATAGATGTATGATTGCATATGTCTAGTTATAGGCGTTACGAAACTACGGATATAATCTTGATCCAGAATGCATTTCTTTGTGTTGCGTGCGATCTACTTCCACATCCCTCATGGTGTGCATGTGGGATATAAGCCATGTCATATTGATTCAATTGCACAACAGCCCTGTACAGATTGAGCAGTTCCAGATCATTATGCTGTTGGCATCAATATTGCCTTAGATATTTGGATGAGTTGTAATTCTTCGGAAGTTCTTATCACTTTCAGCCATATTTACTGGTATTGCGCGCGGTACCGGATACAGTATTGAAGAGTTCGGTTGATGGTACTCGCGGGATGCACAACCATACTCCTCTCTCCATTGCATTTCCATAATTAATCAGATATATGAAGCTACCCCAGACTATGTTTTTAGTCGTTATATTGCTGCCGTAGGGTGTGGTACACAGAAAACCCATCGACTCCTAGGGTCGTTATATACTCGTTAGCACACCTATTTAACGCCATAGTCTGTCTCCAAACATAGTTAACGATCAATACAGTATTTGTCCGCTCTCTTTAAATAATGATATTCTGTTGGTGATGGATTTGTTTGATAATATTGAAGAAATGTCCATTAACTGTAAAATGTAAATGATATTTGTCGTTAAAAGATAAAAGACTTGCTCGAGCTGAACATTTATTTTTCTGCTAAATTATAATGTTCTTATAATTATCATTTTGCCAAAACCTTGATCAGTTCATATTTATTTTGAGAGAGAAAAAATGTGCTTTTATTTTTGTTTCTTTTAATCTACTATCATGAACTACATTATTAAAAGCGACTTTATTTCATGCATGTAATGTTTTGTATGTAGCGATGATTTCACTTATTATTGCGTTTTTTCATCGATAGCTTGGAAAGTCGAGACAACCCATTCATGCCCGGAAGCGATCTCTGCAAAGAAGCCGAGGAAATTTTACAGAAGGCAACGATAATCCGAGATAGGTTCATCTTACGTGATGAGACGGACGGTACACCGGAAGAGGAAGTGACGTCAGAGACAAAATTAGAACTTCATTCTCCCGGAAATGGAAAAGACTGTTCAGTGGTGGAAGAAACACTTTTACCACAAACTTCAGCCTCTGTCAACGCTGCTCCTAACGCAAAAGCGAGACAGAATGGCAAAATAGACGATACTGTGTCGCCGACGACCGTTAAAGTGGAGGTGGGTGGGGGTCAGTCGGATGGCCTGATGGTCATTGGAGATAATAAGGACAAAAAGAAACAAAAGAAATGCTGCAGCGTCATGTAGCATCGCCTGGATACGACATTACACTGGAAACATCCATTCTCATTCATCATATCCGATTGCTTGTGCCCATGTATTCATCTCCATACACCATATAAAGAGTATTTATTGTGGAAGCTTTCGACATGCTAGCAGTTTGATTTGAAGCAGAACCTTCCGAATGGGATTTCAGACATTGTCATTGTGTTCCATGTGTCGACATTGTCAGTGTTTATCCTTGTGTCGACATTGGATACTTTGAATTCCTAGTTTTACTACAAACATATCTTCTTATTTATTCAGTCTCGCCTTTGACTTCATTAACGTCAATTTGCAAGTGACGTCATGCTCGTTTATGCTTCACTCCGTCTATGCCCTGCAGTCATTGCCAATTGTGTTCATCATTGTACACGTCACGTTTTGTTGAAAAAATATATTTCAAGTTATCTCCCTTCCATAAATAAAACCACAATGGGATTTTAGTGAGACACGCCCACGTCACCCATTGGCTACAATGTGACACGCCTACGTCTCCAATCGGTTACAAGGTCACAACGTACAGTGCAAGTTGAAGGAAAAGTGCATTTTCCTTTTGAGAAATCAGGAATGAGCTAATTTCAAATATGCATAAGTCACACGATTTGTGTTATATTCCACAAGTGAATGATTATCTAGAGCCTTCGGATGTACATGTATATTGAGGTCGTAGAATCTACCCCAGGAGTTCGAGGCGTCGAATGTGTGGATTTCATGTCACGGATTTGTCACGTGATGCCTCGTCAAAGCGAGGCGGAATTCTTCTCTGTCGCATTGAATAGGCGCATTACCGTTCTCGGAATGGATGTGATTATTTTGCGATAAACTGAATGTTTTTGAGCTTGTCATTGCAACAGAAGAGATGAATTTTACATCAGTTTTAAGTGAAAGCTGACAAAGGAGAAGGATATTTCGTGAAAAGAATGCACAGTGAAACTTCGTCGTCCTTTGGGAATTTACGTCGAAAGAGAACTGTCTTGAAAGTCAGTTATTGATATTTCGTTTGCGGGTGTGATTTGAGAAAATTGAGGCTAAAGAAGGGATTGACGTCGATACAGAAGGGTGCTATAACTTACTACGAAGACCCTTTACCCATCAGAATTTGATCAAGGACCCTCTATTTTTCGATTTTGTTCAGATTACGTAGTCAATTTGAAGGACGATTTTTCGTATTAGAAAATATTTGTTAATTTCGTTTTTAATTTATTGTGCATCTTTGACTATTTTCGCTGGATATACTATATATTAGTGGTATTTGTGCAGTCCCCAGACACTCCTCATCTTAAAAACTTATTTATAGATTTGTTTCCCTTCTCGTCGACAGTCGTACGGTTTGCTTTCTCCTCTTCATTCGTAAATTTTATGAACTAGCCATTTTGAAACATTGAGCCTATGACGCAGTGACGTCATCGTAAAGAAAAAAATATGCCACACTTTCAAATAACTCAAAATCAAATACAAAGAGATATGATATATATAGGGAGAGGCGAAGATAATTTACGTTAAATTAAATAATATATTTTTTGCATTAGTGATATGTTTTGTTCTCGTGAGGTTTTGTTCCATGTTTCCACACCGAAACCAGCATGGAATAAAATGATGAACACATGTTAACCCTTGTCGCCTTCCTTCACTTCACGTCCTTGGTGATGGTGGCAAGTTCCCCGTCACTTGGTGTGACGGCAGATCGTTAACCGAGTTCCCCTAGGACAAGCAGACCATCTTACCTAATATGTTTTGCAATTAAATTCGATTTACGAAAATGGAATGTTTACAGATAGGGGACACATTACATTATATTACCGTTGGCAGGCTGTGTTTATTATAGGTTACTTGGAATATGCAATATCGAGCAGGCGCTCAGGTACTTTGATTCTTAATTCCTGATATTTGAAAAAAAAAAGTTGAAAGAGGTGGGGCTAATTAGTTCTGAGCACCATTAAATAGGCGTGGCTTTTTGTTTAATTTATATGAGGAATGATGCGGACTTCTTTTGGATTCATCGATAAATTTTGAAAGGAAACTGTATCCTATGTACACCAATATTTCCGTAGACAAAGGCGATGGATTTTCAGGTGAGGAAATGGTTTTCCAGATCAAGGGACGGGCTTTAGTTTACACACATTGTCTATTGCTCCTTGTAACCCGCCATTACCAGGCCATTACATCTGTGTACCGTGTGTTGCGGTTCTCACTGTCTTGGAAAAATGGAACTTATCAGCGATAGATTACTCGGAAGCTAGGTAATCACATTCAGGGCACAATTAATCATGTCAGATACTACACACGTGTATACACTATACACATGAGCACCGTACCAAAACCTGAACACGTGTGTAAAACATCAAATACCACACACATACGTATTTTATCCCATTACAGTTGTATTAACACATATACCTTACCAAATCAAAGACTGGGCAAGTCCAGTTTAAAAATGTAAGGGTGAATTAGTTAAGCCTGGTTTTGACGCGTACAGCGTTCAACAGAATGTACTGTTAGCTAATTCAAACAATTACATGTCTTCTATGTGTATGTGTACTAATTTCGCACGAAGCACCCCCCAGGAAGGAGAGGGGACAAAGGGTAGAAACCCAATAGGGAAAATAATACTTCTTAATTAAATGAGGTGAAGATATTCGAAATTCATTTAACATGAAACCAATAGGGAAAATAATACATCTTAATTAAATTGAGGTGAAGATATTCGAAATTCATTTAACATGAAACCTATTTGGGCCAATGAGTCCTATCGTTGTTAACGGTAAATGAAGGGTTTTATCTTCCGAAACACAGGGGTGGGGACTAGTAGGGTAATTTGGGGAGAGGCAAGTGTTTATACAGCTACTCTTGTTTAGTGTAGGTCAGTCGCCTTATACCACATTATCATAGTGCAACTCTGTGTGAGGGATCGGGAAGCCCCATCGGATGACGGAAACTCCAAATCTGTATAGTTATTGACGAGGGCAACAATGTCCATTTCAAATGGACTGTCATACACATGTTTAGATAATTTGAAGAATAGTACGGTTGAGAAAGATTATAAAATGCTATAAAAAATGTCTACAAGTATGTATCTATACCGACTACGACAGACATGTACTCCTACCAGCAGATGGGGTAAATCACAACATGCATGCTGCCTTCATGAAAAGTTAGACACTTTATCGTGGAGAGATATCAACTGATAGCGGTACTTAATCGTTTGGTGTATCCGATGAAGACGCATACATATATTTACCACACCTACATCTGACTCTTATGTCGTAGAGGAATTCTTACATACATGTACAACTTCATCACTACACTACGTATACACAATTCCAAACCACCATACAAACGGCAGTAAAAGACGTTACTATTTGCATAATACTGGATGTTAAGTTTGCAGTTGTAACAAACATTCTGAAAATGTCTAAATAACTTAACGAGAAAACCAGGAATCTCAATTAATATAGAAAATAACTATTAAACGTCTGACTTTTCAACAAAGTATAACGCCCTACCTCATGCTAACATTAAATTATGTCTAAAAAAAACATTTGGTATATCAATTTTTTATATTTAAAAAATACTGACAAATGCAGACGCATTGTTGCTATAAATGGAATTTATTTTGGTTGAGCTCATTAGGTATGTTAAGGTAAGGAGATTTGCTCGATCCGTTAGTTTCACATTGAGATATATTGGTATTTGCTCTCCATGGAAAACGGAATAATAAAAATCCATTTCATTTCATTCATCCACGTGAGTGTGAAATGAAGCATACAGTGTTCCAATTAATGTAACCTAGCAACCACTCGAACTTTGTCTTTTGCTCCAGATTCATATTTTGGTATTTACCTCAAATTTTACAATAATAATCACACCACTTCTACATTCTGCGACATATAGATTACCTAAAGTATGACAATAATGAGCACCCCAAAACCAAATTATATGATATTTACCTAAAGTATGACAATAAGGGACACCTCACTACATACCTCTGTGAAATTCACCTACAGTATGACAATAATGGTCACCTGAATGACACATTCTGCGAAATTTACCTACAATATGACAATAATGGTCATCTTACTACAATTTGATTACATTTACCAACAGTATGACAATTAAGATCACCTCACAACAAAATTCGTTAAAAAATACCTACAATATGGCAATAATGGCCAATCCACTACCAAATCCAATGATATTTACCAACAATTGGATAATAATTGTCACCTGAATAACAAATTCTGTGACATTTACCTACAGTATGACAATATTGGTCACATCACTACCAAATTATGTGACATGTACCTACAGTATGACAATAATGGTCACCTCACTACCAAATTCCGTGACATTTATCTACAGTATGACAATAATAGTCACCTGAATGATACATTCTGCGAAATTTACCTACATTATGACAATAATGGTCACCTCACTACCAAATTCTGTGACATTAACCTACAGTATGACAATAATGGTCACATCACTACCAAATTCTGTGACATTTACCTACAGTATGACAATAATGGTCACCTCACTACCAAATTCTGTGACATTAACCTACATACAGTATGACAATAATGGTCACATCACTACCAAATTATGTGACATGTACCTATACAGTATGACAATAATGGTCACATCACTACCACATTATGCGAAATTAACCAAAAATATGACAATAAAAGGCACCCAAATAGCAGGTCACATCACTACCAAATTATGTGACATGTACCTACAGTATGACAATTATGGTCACATCACTACCAAATTATGTGACATTTACCTACAGTTTGACAATAATGGTCACATCACTACCAAATTATGTGACATTTACCTCCAGTATGACAATAATGGTCACATCACTACCTAATTCTGTGACATTTACCTACAGTATGACAAAAATGGTCACATCACTACCAAATTCTGTGACATGTTCCTACAGTATGACAATAATGGTCACATCACTACAAAATTCTGTGACATGTACCTACAGTATGACAATTATGGTCACATCACTACCAAATTATGTGACATTTACCTACAGAATGACAATAATGGTCACATCACTACCACATTATGCGAAATTAACCAAAAATATGACAATAAAAGGCACCCAAATAGCAGGTCACATCACTACCAAATTATGTGACATGTACCTATACAATATGACAATAATGGTCACATCACTACCACATTATGCGAAATTAACCAAAAATATGACAATAAAAGGCACCCAAATAGCAGGTCACATCACTACCAAATTATGTGACATTTACCTACAGAATGACAATAATGGTCACATCACTACCAAATTCTGTGATATTTACCTACAGTATGACAATAATGGTCACATCACTACCACATTATGTGAAATTAACCAAAAAGATGACAATAAAAGGCACCCAAATAGCAGGTCACATCACTACCAAATTATGTGACATTTACCTACAGTTTGACAATAATGGTCACATCACTACCAAATTATGTGACATTTACCTACAGTTTGACAATAATGGTCACATCACTACCAAATTATGTGACATTTACCTACAGAATGACAATAATGGTCACATCACTACCACATTATGTGACATTTACCTACAGGATGACAATAATGGTCACCTCACTACCAAATTCTGTGACATTAACCTGCAGTATGACAATAATGGTCACATCACTGAAATTTACCTACAATATGACAATAATGGTCACCTCACTACCAAATTCTGTGACATGTACCTACAGTATGACAATTATGGTCACATCACTACCAAATTATGTGACATTTACCTACAGAATGACAATAATGGTCACATCACTACCATTATGACAATAATGGTCACCTCACTACCAAATTCTGTGACATGTACCTACAGTATGACAATAATGATCACATCACTACCAAATTCTGTGACATGTTCCTACAGTATGACAATAATGGTCACATGACTACCAAATTCTGTGACATTAACCTACAGTATGACAATAATGGTCACATCACTACCACATTATGTGAAATTAACCAAAAATATGACAATAAAAGGCACCCAAATAGCAAACTATTATACATTTACCAACAGTATGACAATAATGGTCTCCTCATTATCAAATTATGTGACATTTACCTACAGTATGACAATAATGGTCTCCCTAACACCAAAATCTTACAGTATGACAATAATGGTCTCCCCAATACCAAAATCTTACAGTATGACAAAAATGGTCACCCCAATACCAAATTCTTTGATATTTACCTACAGTATTACAGCATTTGTCCGCTCTTTACCTCTTATAAACTCTGCAACAACGTGACGAAATGTATTTTAGTACAAGTTACTTTCATTTTCTCAATCATTGTCACATGAAACATGTCCAGCGCTCCATTTAAAAGCTATGAACGGGACACCGCCAATTCATACACTTCCAAACTACAATCATACACAGCAATGACAGACATTTTGATTACTTCCATGGGAGAATGAACATTTATTGTCAAAGTGAAAACGATCTCGCTTTTTACGCCATTGATGGAGCACGTTAAGGAGGAGGTTGGGAATCCCATTGCTTACATTACGTCATAAATGTGCGCAGCAGTGGGCTTTGCTACGATA